CCATTTGTCTTTTAGGAGTTTTATAGTTTTGTATTTTACATTTACATCTTTGATCCATGCATAATGGATCTCTTTCATCCAACAGGTATTTCCAATTCCTGCAACTTTAAGCTCTGTGGATTTAGAAGTCTTGGTCTTTGATTGTGGGGGGTGTGCTTCCACAGAGAGTAGACGGTGGAGGTGGTTCCCTGATCTTAAAGTATGATGGCTGCCTGGAAATTTTAGATTCTTCATTCAGGAAGACATGAAACAAAGAAAGGAGTTACTCTTAAGTCAAGGAGTAAATGACCCTAATTATCATGAAGAACTAGGAGTGCTTCCTCGACCAGGGACAACATTAAGCCAGCAATTGCAGCTCTACCTCATGAACAGGATAACCAGGAGCTCTGACATTTCATGATCGAATATTTGTGTCTCCATCAGGGAAGGAATGTTGACAAGTGGTCATGTTGGAGGAGTATGAAGGAAATAAATATGGATGGTAGAGAAAGGCAATGATGAGTTTCAATTACAGCTTTAGGATCTGCTGTAGTGGCAAAGATCACAGTTTGTTCTGCTAACTCTCCCTTTTAAATTCTGTTTGTAGAGTGTATGACTGGCTATCATCCTCCAAGCTCAGTGTGGGGGCATGAGTAGATGAGGGGAGTGCATAGTGTGGACTGTGGCTGATGCCCAGCCTGAAGCGCCTTGTCCCACTTGAGTTTACTGGATGTTGCGGTAGACAGTTTTCATCAAGCTGACAGCTTCTTACTGGAAGTTCTCACGTTTTTCTTCTCTGCCTGAGGGCTTTCTCTGGCCCTGAGGGAGTCTGCAGTCATCCAGCCAATGGAGTTGTCAGTTAACCTGTGTTAAACAAAAGGATAGTAAAAATGGATTGAATGATCTGCTGAAACTTGCATCACATAATTTTATTGTTATTCTGAGGGGATAATTTAAGTTTTTTTAAGGAGGGAGTAGGTTCGTACTAATATCAGAAGAATTCATTAATTAATTTAGTCATTCATTCAATATCAATGATATAGCAATATCAGTGATTCTAGATATAATTATCTTTTTTGGAAGTTACAAAGATAATGATGGCAAGAGCTGACATTTATTGTGCATTTGTTATGTGCTTTTGCAAGAATTTTTTAATCTCAATGATAACTTCATAATGACAATGAGATTATTATCTGCACTTTACAGCTGATGAAACAGGGCTGAGAGGATACTTTATTTGTTCAGGGCCAAGAATTAATGAGTGGCAGAGCCAAGAACCAGTTCACTCTGATTACTGAGCCCAAGGACTCAATCTCCCTACTCTACAGTCTCTTGGAAAAAGCACTCCTGCATGCCCTGAAGTCTCTACCAAAGGAGAGAAGGGCCCCACAGGATGTGAAGTTAAAGATAGATTTGTGCTCTCATGGTAGGAAGTATAACGGGGTGGGGGTTTGCAGAAACCTGACTTTCTATTCCTGGACCATGATGTGCTGTTGAGAGAGGCTGACCCAGTGCACTGGCAACATGAGTGGTGGAGGATGACTAAGCCATTCCTGCTTCCAAGCTGGAACTCTGAGCAGGCAGAGAGGAGCCCTGGGTGTCCCTGAGATCAGGGGCACCCTCTCAGGTGGCTCCTGCAGCTCCATCCCTCCAGGCTCTGCACAGGCTTCTCCCCAAGGTCTGATAAGAATTGGAGGCAGTTAGTCTACTTTCATTCTTTCCTTAACCAGGAGCTTAGGGACTTTTTCTGAGCCCTCTCTGAGGTTTGTAAGATGGTGTCCTCCTGCCTGTTGCTCATGGAGCTCAAAGAAAGACACAGAGAGCTCAGGAGGTTGTAGGCCCACAGAGGCTTTCCTCTTACATTTTTGTTCCCAGTGTTCTCAACAGAAGCTGAGGACTCAGGGAACTGTTTGGATCAGAAGGTGCCTGAGCTCACCAAGGACTGGCACAGGTCAGAGTGAGCTGAGAATTCTAGGTGGGCGAGGTGTGTCTCTGTGTCTAGAGGTCTGCATACGTATTCCATGTGGGTCTGTGTGGTGTTTCCTTGCTCATGTAATGTGGGTATTTTTATGTTTTCTTCATGAGTTTTGTCTCTGTTTGCGTGTTTGTTTGTGTGTGTGATACATAATTGACTCCTAGTTTTATTCTTTTCCTCCCTTTGACCCAGAATACATAACTCAATAAAAGTTGCCTCATTAGGCAAGTGTAGAGTATTTGTGTGTGTGATTCAGGATCTCCTAATCAGTCTCTTTGTTTTCAAGTATTTTCCCCACTCTCCTTTTATAATTCCCATTTTTCCTTCTTGGACACACAGCATAGTTAAGTAAATGAGACTATAGAATCTGAAGAGAGACGGCTGTGAAGAAAGACATTCCCCAATGTGGAACAGATGTTTCCTTGACTTACCAGCAACCAGCAATAGGTGAGAGATCTTGAAATCTCTACTCAGTGATGTGTGTGTGAACTTGCATTTTCTTCATGAGTTATATTTGTATGTGATTCCAAATGTTCAGAGTGTGTGTTGTGTGTGTGTGTTTGCTGTTTGTTTTATTTGCAGGTGGTGTTTATGTGGTGGTTCCTGGGAATGAAGGGAGTCCAAGTGCTTCACTCACTGATGGCCTTCTCCTACATTGATTGCAGGTCAGTGGGGGCTGGAACATCTCACTTTGCAGTGAGGACGTACGTGTGTGACCATGTGTGTTGTTCATTGCCTGACTGTGAAGAGGCATGTGTGTACAGTGCTGCATCTCTTTCATGATTTTTGTGTGATGTATGATCTTATGGTTTTTTGCTGTTTATTATGGTTTTGTGAATGTGTGAGTCTATATTCAGACCATGAGTTTATACATCTGGTATGTGCCTTTTGTGTTCTTCTGGTTGTTTGATGTGTGCGTTGAGGTTATACAAATGTTTATATGTGGTTTTCTGGGTTGTTTGTGTGTTCTGTGCCCAATTTTGTGTATTATTTGTGAATTTTTTTATGACCCTTTGGGTAACTGAGCCATATTCTTACTCCCTTTCTTTTAGGATCACTGTAGGTCACAAGTGGCAAGAAATCACAAATCAGCAATTTATGTTGCACATGTCAGTGTGTTTCCTGGACATCTTTTAGGGGCTTCTGGTTGGTGTCTGTGAACTCATATGTTTCTTTAGCTGTCTTTAAACAGGGGCCATGTTACTGCCTTGAGCGGGCAGGTTCATGTGCATTTCCACTGCTGGGCAGGTGTCATACACTAACAGACATGAGCTCAGTGTGTGCAGTACGTCAGACCAGGGCCCAATCCTCAGTCTGGCCCTTATATGTTTTTGTGACCTCGGGAAGTGACTTCCTCTCTCTGAGGTTCAGATTCCTTACTGGTAAAGGAGGGGTAACTATTCCTATTCACAGTGCTATTGTGAGGATGAAATGAGGCAATGCATACAAATCATTCAGCACCATGCCTGGCACTTAATCAGTGCTCAGTAAAAAGGAGGAATTTGTTATCTTTCCCTAAACCCAATGTTTGTGTCATGGAGTTTCCTTATTTCACCACTGTCCGGGGAGGACAGGTAGATGTCAGAGAAAGCAGGCCAATCTAAAGTCTCCTTCTCACACCAAGGTCACGCATGACCTTCTTTCTATGGCTCATGGCCCAGCTGTGTCCTTCACAAGGTCCTGCCAGAATCAAGGTTCCCGGAAGGTTCTAGCTCTCTTGTTTTCTTTTGGTTTCTTGTTGAGGACAGATACAGCGTATGTCAGAGAGCAGCCAGGCCTCCCCATAAGGGTCAGTCACTGTCCTCCTTGGTGGCCCTGAACTAAGATAGCCAGCGCCCCTGAGCAAGTGCTTGGTCCCCGAGGAGGACTTGCTGTCCTGCTTTTAGACTTGAGTGAGAACGTCAGTCTTGATCCCCTCTTCAGGGTTCTGTGGTTGGTAATCCTTACCTCTCACCCAAGTACCAAATAAATGTTGATCTGGAATCCACCATCAAAGAACTGACTCACTGTTAAGCAAGCCATTTATCTCTATAGCTTCAGTTTTTACATCTATAAAATGAGGACACGATATTTGCCTTATGTACCAAATAATCCATAAGTATATAAATATTGATTTAAGAGAATTTAAAGCATGTGAAAGTCTTTTGTAACTTATATGATGTATAAAAGTGAGTGGTAGATTTTTCTTAGTGAGGAACTAAGGATATTTTAGACAAAGGGAGCTGCCATAACACAGCTTGTCTGGATATTCTAACTAATGAGGGTATAATTTCTATGCAGAGTGGTTGAGAGATGGATTCCAATCAGACAGACATATGTTGTGATTCTGTCTGTCCCACTTAACTGTGTGTACCTTTGCATCTTCAAATAATATACACTTTTGTCTACTCATAGTTAAAATGATAACAATACGCATTAATTAGCACTATGGTGAGGATTTAATTTGAATGTGCATTTAAAACATTTGGAATAGTGACTGGAGCTATTGTTAATGTTGGTTTGGAAACCTGGATTGGACACTTTTGGTAACAGAGAATTTTAAATGACTCAAAACAGGTTTGACCAAGCCGATTACACAGAAAGCTTGTGACAAAGTTTTACTAATTCTATTCCAACTTAGGGAGTTTCACATCCCTTCTAAGAGGAAATGATTGAACTTCTTTCCCGGTGCCCATTTCACAAGTGATCTTAGTAAATAACTGAGATCTGAACCTGACTAGATATAAAGATGTAAACTCCTTTAACATAGAGACTTCCCATATCTTGTTCACTGCTATGTACTCAATATGGGAAAGAAGTGGTTGTTCAATAAATATTTATGGAATAAAGAATAATTGTCCCTAGGTTTCTTTGGAAAGAAACTTAGTTAGTTAATGTGAGTATTTAACTTGTCACTGGAGCCAGAATGGGACAGACAGATTCACACACCAACAACTGTGATAAATAAACAGAAAGCTAAAATTAAGAATTTTCATACCAAAAAGGACATTACCATAGTGTTATGGCATGTTGAGTGACATTTTTCACTTTCCCCAATTTCCACCAGAGACAAGAGCAGTATGAGGTGGGAGAACCAGACAAACATGTCTGAATTCTTCCTCCTGGGGGTCCCCATCCAGCCAGAGCAGCAGGGCATGTTCTTTGCCCTGTTCCTGGGCATGTACCTGACCACGGTGCTGGGGAAGCTGCTCATCATCTTGCTCATCAGACTGGACTCTAGCCTCCACACCCCCATGTACTTCTTCCTCAGCCACTTGGCCTTCTCCGACATTTCCTTTTCAACTGTTACTGTTCCAAAACTGCTCACAAACATGCAGACTCAGCAACAATCCATCCCCTATGTGGGGTGAATTTCTCAGATGTATTTTTTCATAGTTTTTGTTTGTCTTGACAATTTCCTTCTTGCAGTGATGGCATATGACAGGTATGAGGCCATCCGTCAGCCACTCCACTACACTATCTTAATGAGGCAGGAGCTGTGTGTCTCATTAGTAGCTGGGTCCTGGTTCCTCTCTTGTATCCATGGCTTGTTGCACACCCTCCTCTTGGTCCAACTGTCGTTCTGTGCTGAGAGTATCATCCCCCACTTCTTCTGTGACCTCACTGCACTCCTGAAGATGAGCTGCTCAGACATCTTCCTTAATGAACTGGTCATCTTCACCGAGGGAGGAATGCTTTTCATCTTGCCTTTGAGCACTATCTTGGGCTCATATATCCGTATAGGGACCACCGTCCTGAAGGTCCCCTCTACCAAGAAATTCTATAAAGCCTTTTCTACCTGTGGCTCCCATCTCTTTGTAGTGTTTTTATACTACGGGACACTTGCAGGTGTTTACTTTTTCTCCTCATCGTGGTGCTCCAATGACAAAGACATAATTGCTTCGGTCATGTATACAGTAGTTACCCCCATGCTGAACCCCTTCATTTATAGCCTGAGGAACAAAGATATAAAACAGGCCCTGGAAATATTTGTCAATAGGGCTATCTTCTTTAAGTGACAATCACTAAATCCTCTTATTACAGTCATGAGCACAGTGAGATGTATGTCCTAAAATTGTTGTATGCTTACAACTCCATATAAATTTAGAAGAATATGCATTCTGCTGTCATGTATAGTGTTGTTAATATGTCAACTAGGTCAAGTTTGCTACTTTTTTAAATATTCTTTATCCCTAATTAATTTTTCTCTGCTTGTTCATCATATCTTAAAAGATATGTAGAAAATATGCAAAATATGTCACACAATTGTGATTGTGAATTTGTTTTTTGCTCCTTTTAGATATGTCGGGTTTTGATTATGTATTTTTTATGCCATGCTATTGAGGACACACAGATTTAGCATCATGATCTCTCCTGGTGGGCTGATTCTTTGATGTAGTGGTGGCTGAAGATGGCTTGCATTGGCTTCAGGCTGACTGTGCACATTCCTTTCCAACTCCACATTCAGGGATATCATGTTGGTAGATTGAGTTCACCATAATGGGAGTAATAACACTATGGAAATTGGCAAATGCTACAAAGCAAGGCTTTGTGAAAAAAAAAAGAGCTATTTTTTTTTATTTGTTTAACAGCAAACCACTGAATTTATAATTAGGAGATATTTCTCTTTATCTCTAGCAATGGTTCCTACCTTAACATCTCATCTACTTCTTCTGATATTACTATAGACATACTACCTTTCTTTTGTTATGTAAACATGATATTTCTTTTCCACCACTTTTCTTTCAGTTTTTCTATGTCCCCATAACTTTCAGGTGTCTCTGGTGAACAGTGTAAAGTTGGGTTTTGCTCTTTTTATGTAAATCTATGATCATTACATTTCTGGATAATTTGATCTATTAACATCTAATGTAATCAGGATATATTTGAATTTATATTTTCCATATTACTATACATACATTATTTGAGATATTTGTTTCATATTTATTCTCTCTTCTCTTTCTTGCTTTTGATTATTTAAATATATATTTTGTTATCCTATTTCCCCTTCACTAACATGTTAATTATATACATTATTATTATTTTATAACTCTTTTCTGGGCCTTATGTAGAGATTACTTCTTGCTTTCCCTTTTATGTTTTATTATTGTCATACAATATATATAACATGAAATTTACCATTTTAACCATTTGAGGTGTTCAATTCAGTGGCATTTAGTACATTCATCACCACCATCTCATTCTAGGACTCCAAAAGGAAACTGTCTGGTACATCAGTGCAATGGAGTACTTCGGAGCTGTGAAAACATAATTGTAAAGATATCTATGAATCAATATGGCAGAATTCCCTGGTTACATTGTGTTTTTTTCTCCAGTAATTTTATTGAGATCATAATGGTTTATAACATTGTGTAATTTCGGGTGTACATTGTTATTTATTAATTTCTGGGTAGACTTCATCCTGCTCACCCCCAGTAGTCTAATTATTGTCCATCACTGTACATATGTGTCCTTTTACTCCTTCACCCACCCCCCAATCCCCTTCCCCTCTGGTAACCACTAATCTGTTCTCTTTATCCATGTATTTGCTATCTTCCACTCATATCTTCATACAAGTGAAATCATGCAGTATATGTCTTTCTATGCCTGGCTTTATATTGTTAGAGGGGAAAAAAAGCAATGTGTTATAGAGCATCTATAGCATGCTACTTTTTGTGTAAAAATGAAAGAAAATATACAAGTATCCGCCCGTTTGAGTAAAAAGAAGCACAAGAAGAATACATCAGAAATTAATGAAATTCCTTACCTACAGAAGGTGTATGAGAATGGAGTAGAAAAGATGAAGAGATGAGTGTATTTATTGGTATAGTTTTTTTTTCTTTTTTGAAAATTTTTTATTGATGTCTTAATAGTTTATAAAATTGTGAAATTTTGGTTGTATGTTTTTGTTTGTCAATCACCATATACATGTCTCCCTTCACCCCTTGTGCCCAGCCCCCAACCCCTTTGCCCCTGGTAAGCACAATACAGTTCTCTCTGACTGTGTGTTGGTTTATATTCCACATAGGAGTGAAATGATGCAGTGTTGTCTCTCTCTTTCTGGCTGATTTCACTTAACATAATACCTTCCAGGTCCATCCATGTTGTTGCAAATGGGATGATTTTGTCTTTTTTTATGGCTGAGTAGTATTCTATTGTGTATATATATATATATATATATATATACCACATTTTCTTGATCCAATCATCAGTTGAGGGATGCTTGGGTAGCTTCCACTTCTTGGCTATAGTGACTAATGCTGCAATGAACATAGGGGTGCACAAGCCTCTTTGTATTGTTGATTTCAGGTTCGTTGGATAGATTCCCAGTAGTGGGATAGCTGGATCATAGGGTATTTCTATTTTTAATTTTTTGAGGAATCTCCATATCGTTTTGCATAGAGGCTGCACCAGTTTGCATTCCCACCAGCTGTGTATGAGGGTTCCCATTTCTCCACATACTCTCCATCATTTGTTGTTTTTTGTCTTGGTGATTATAGCCATTCTAACAGGTGTGAGGTGATATCTTAGTGTTGTTTTGATTTGCGTTTCCTTCATGATTAGTGATGTTGAACACCTTTTCATATGCCTATTGGCCATCTGTACATCTTCTTTGGAGAAGTGTCTGTTCATTCCCTCTGACCATTTTTTGATCGGGTTGTTTGTTTTTTTGCTGTTCAGTTGTATGAGTTCTTTACATATTATAGAGATTAACACCTTGTCAGATATATGTTTTGCAAATATTTTCTCCCAACTGGTGGGTTGTCTATTCATTTTGATCCTGGTTTCGTTTGTCTTGTAGAAGCTTTTTAATCTGATGAAGTCCCACTTGTTTATTTTTTCTTCAGTTTCCCTAGTCTGACTAGACATGGCATCTGAAAAGATTCTTTTCTGACCAAAGTCAAATAGTGTCTTGCCTATATTTTCTTCTATGTGTTTTATAGTTTCAGGTCTCACCTTCAGGTCTTCGATCCATTTTGAGTTAATTTTTGTGAATGGCGATAGCAGATGGTCCTCTTTCATTCTTTTGAATGTGGCTGTCCAGTTTTCCAAGCACCATTTATTGAAGAGACTTTCCTTTCTCCATTGTATGTTCTTAGCTCCTTGGTCGAAAAGTAGCTGTCTGTATATGTGTGGTTTTATTTCTGGGCTTTCAATTCTGTTCCATTGATCTGTGTGTCTTTTTTTGTACCAGTACCATGCTGTTTTGATTACTATTGCGTTGTAGTATGTTTTGAAGTCAGGGATTGTGAATGCCTCCAGCTTTGTTCTTTTTTCTTAGGATTACTTTAGCTATTCAGGGTCTTTTCCTGTCCCATATGAATTTTAGTATTCATTTTTCTATTTCTGTGAAGAATATCATTGGGATTCTGATTGAGATTGGGTTGAATCTGTAGACTGTTTTAGGTAATATAGACATTTTAACTACATTTATTCTTCTAAGCCATGTGAATGGTGGGATATCTTTCCATTTCTTTATGTCGTTATTGATTTCTTTGAATAATGTCTCGTAGTTTTCATTGTATAGGTCTTTCACTTCCTTGGTAAGATTTATTCCTGGATATTTTATTGTTTTTTATGTGATTGAAAATAGTATTATATTTTTGAGCCCTCTTTTTTTTTTAATTTTTTGTTTATTGCAGTAATATTGGTTTACAACATTGTATAAATTTCAGGTGTACATCATTATACTTCTATTTATGCATAGATTACATCATGTTCACCACCCAAATACTAATTACAATCCATCACCACACACATGTGCCGAATTATGCCTTTTGCCCTCCTCCCTCCACCCTTTCCCTCTGGAAACCACCAATCCAATCTCTGTCTCTATGTGTTTGTTTATTGTTGTTATTATCTACTACTTAATGAAGGAGATCATACGGTATTTGACCTTCTACCTCTGACTTATTTCACTTTGCATAATACCCTCAATGTCCATCCGTGTTGTCACAAATGGCTGGATTTCATCATTTCTTATGGCTAAGTAGTATTCCATTGTGTATATATACCACATCTTCTTTATCCATTCGTCCCTTGATGGGCACTTAGGTTGCTTCCAAGTCTTGGCT